TTGACCGCACGTAACTATGTAGTAAGCGACCTCTGTCGTGACAGGTGGAAGCTCTGCAGCCGATCGAACCATTCGCCGGTATTCGGAGAGGAGGCTCAGGTAGTCGGACGGTGCGTCTGCGATCCGATATACAGGGCTGATTATCGGGGCATCTGAAAGGACACCTTCAACACCTAGTTTCGTACGATCGTCTAAAGGTCTGTGGCGACCAGCATCAACAAGCAACCCAAAATGTCGGTAGAAGTCGATACCGATAATTGCGAAGGGTGCAGACGCAACCATGAAGACCCACTGAAAATCTCGGCGAAGATTGAGGTCCACGTTCATTATGCGCTGACCGAATGAAGCTATCGGAGAACCGTTGGCCGCACGCATATTGTACCTAGGCTCCGAGTGCTTGTTGCTAGCGGTTGCTGGGATGACGCTGACTTCCGCTTCCGTGTCGATGAGGAAGGTGATGGAAGAACGTCGATCCTTAACGTAAAACAGTCGGTTTGCTTGGTTACTGAATGATACGTTTGTAGTGCTAGTATGCGGGCTATTCGTTTTCCCCGGGTCGTGCCTAATGCAGGGAGCCCGAAAACGTCTAGCTCTTCCACCTTATTGGCGGTGATACCAACATACTTCTTCGAGGTGTTTGACATTATATGACTGAGAACTTGTAAGGAAAATGTTGCGCTTTCGTGCCAAACGTGACGTACTCGGTGCAGGCACAGACAAGCTGCAAAGAACGGTAGCCAAAACGTGGTCAGCATTAGACCGTGGCACGCGCTGCTTCGAAGCGTTCATTGCTGCTATCTTACAACGAAGTAGCGCAATTTCCTCGTCTTTAGCGTCAGATCGGTCTAGCGACTGGGAACAAACATGTGATTCGGTTTTCATCGGTGAGAATATGTCACCGGAGTTACTGGTCGTCTGCTGCGTAAAACGTTCGAACGCAGCGTCTGCCTTGGTAGCTAAGTCTTTCAAGGGTGCATCTATAAACATGGACAGCATTACGGGCAATGGCACTGTGAGACGTGCAAACCACAGCTCCTTTAGCCCTTCTTCGCTCAAGCATAAGGGACCAGCGATGCGCTGAAGTTCGCGGAGCAATGCCGACGGCTTGCCATCTCCAAGCTTGAGACCATTGAGCTGCTCAAATCGAGTTCGTGCGCTGGGTCGTAACTCTTTCAAAATCGCTTGCTTCATCGTTTCATACTTTGCCTCATTCGATGGGCAGAGTAGAATGTCCTCAATCAGCGTCACTACCGAAGGAGGAAGGCGTGGGACGAGCTGATTGTACCTTGGACGGTCCACCGTTCTGCCCTTATTTTCTAGTTCGACCTCGAATATCTTAAACCAAACTTCTGGACTCTGTTCCATGAAACTTGGAACAGCAAAGTAAGCATGGTTACGCTGTGAAACGACTCAGCTGCCACTCTCGAAATGTGACTCAAAAGATAAAGAACGAACAAAATACGATAAAAGTACTAAAATTACGCAAGAAACTAATGAATATAGGTATGTAATCGAGAAAAAGGAACGAACTCACCAAAAAATACAAACGAGAAAAATGTTGAATTCGCGCGTGCGAATCGGGGTCACCAATTTATAGGACTAGTTAACACTAGTCCGAGGTGATGCGCGGAGTTAAGCGCGGATATCAGAAGGCAATTGGAGTCGGACACAGCGGACTGTATTCGTTGGGCTACCATAAGAAGCGGACGGATGAAGCGAGGCAAGAGCGTACACGTGAGCGCGGGGACTTACAAGGCAGTTGTGTGTCGAGCCGGTTGTAAGATTAAAACAAGAAGGAGTAATGTACAATCGGTCAACAAGTAAATTGTACATGAAAGATAGCAGTTTTCTTTTTGGGCGCTACCGAGGTGTAATAAGGGCAAGCTTAACCAAAGTAAAGCATGTCATTCCCAACGAATTCAAGTTTGCACTGAAGGGTCGGTTATATAACCGTGGATACTACTTCCACCCGATGCCCGAACTCTCCTACAGTCTAGGATCTTTGACGTGGTCACTTACAAAGACTACCTACGGTTGAAAAGGAAACTTACTAGAAACAAAATACTACAATCCTCTTCCAGTTCAGCCCATATGATTCATTTGTGCGTTGGGTAGAAGAAAGCAGGAGGGAGATCCCTTGAAGCCTCGTGCACTACAGTCACAGAAGCCGTTCATGTCGCGAGGTCCAAAGTCATAGTCATGGTGACATGACTGTGGTACAAATAACCAAATGGAGGTTAAAAATTACCTTGTTTTATAAATAGTGGTAGCACTTCCAGAAATAGCAAATTTCACTTTGATACACCCATGTATAAACGTGGTATATCCGATGATCCTGTAACGCAGACTTTGCTCCTACATCATGCGCCTACGTGGGCCGTCTTGCTCTGTGTAAAACATTGTACATGATGTCTACCATAACGGTAGGCGACTTGCTCATCAGCATAAATGATGTACTAACATCGAGGAGGAGGCACGGTGCCAGAATACATTATAAAAAATTCCACATCCAAGCTTTCCAGTCGAGCGGCGATGGCAATTAAGCAGAAGCGCACCTGAACACATATGCTTCTCGTAAAAGCCGCATATCTTCATCCAGAAATAGGAGTAGACATCTAAAGTTTCGCTCTTCACTGGACCAAATAGTAAAATGTCTTACATACGCGTAGTTAATTCAGTATGTAGCGATTATAGCCCCGCTAGCGTCAGAAACTTGGTGTCCCCTAGCATTGACGTTATTCCGGTCATCCCTAAAGTTTCTTTGCTAGTGACAGCATGAAAATTAAAGAGCCAGCCTGCCAGCAAAGTCAAACTTTTAGGGAATCGCTGACAGAGTTACTAAAACACAAAGCTTGTTTTATGTAGAGGAACAACTGCTATGAGGGACATTTGGGTGCACTAATTATTACAAATGCCAACGATCTCCATGTTTTTATACACAAGTGTTTTGTCAGAATTAGCTGTTAATGTTGCTTTTAGCAACTGGATATGGTGGCCAATATAATTTGAATTGTAAAGCCATCTGTGAGAGAGTAACGGACAGGAGAGCCTCAGAAGCGATATGAAAAGCTTTCTGGCAGTCAGCTGCCAGCCGGAAGTGTTTAGTTGGAACTTGTTTCGCTTTTCCAATGCTCTGTAGCCGGACCGTCAGCGGAGTGTTTTCGGAGTAACGGCTGACCATCAGCGGACTTTCGTGCTGCTAGGCATACGTACAATTGCCTCTGCTGCTTTGCAAAACTTACGCGGATAAATAGGCGATAATCCGTTTGCCACCGTTCACGAAAACACAGAAATTCTAAACCTTCGCCATACCCTCGGTAGCCCCAAGTATATGAAAAGACCCGCCCGTGTGTTAAACATGTATCTTCCGAAGCGGCTTGTAAAAATAGCGGCTATCACAGTATGTTACTGAAATTTAGCGGGTGCCAAGGTGGCGATTTCAAAAGGAAAATCCAACTGCAGGGAAGCTTTAATTTGTACTTTAAAAGGTTCCCCACTGACCCGGTTAAAAAACAACCCCTTTTATGGTGTTAGCTAGGGGTAGCGAAAGCAATGCAGCACTAAGCTCGATCGCCATTGCAACCAAAACAAAGTCCAAGCAAAAGTGGTACGCGACTAACGTAAGGGAGCACATACAGTGTATCATTCCTTACGGTACGCATAAACGCAACCTAAAATAAAAAACTATACTTGGAATTTCACACAAGCAGACCAGAGAAGTCTACAGACTGCTACATATAAAAATTATAGCGCGTAGTGAGCCCCCAGCTGCCAAACCACTTAATAATCGCCGACTGAACGATAAACCTGGGCGCATAAATGTGGTGATTTGGAATGTGAACCAATTCGGTAGTGCGAAAACACAAGATAGCTTGCGAAATCCGGAAACTGTACGGTCACAACTTCATTTTGTCCGTGGCGTCTTTGGGACTTTGGATAATAGAGAACAACGAGGAAATCTTGCTTCAGCCCCATCACTTCCAATTGTAGCAATGATGAGTTGATCACTACGAGACTGAGTTTCGCGGTGGGCCTTCACATCCAAAAGTGAAACATTAAGATCCTGGCCTAGTGAGCAAGCGCGTGTTCAGCATTGTTTTAAAAAATCTGTGTTTTTGCATCGGCGACCAGATCCGGCAGGCGGTGGCTAGAGCATAATTCTTCCGCACGTGGAGCTACTTCGATATGGACAATTTGCATTTATGAACTCTAATCTGCTTTCCAACGTTGTGATGCAAGTGCTTTTGCAGCGCTTTCCACAGATGTCCTCTTAGGATACCTCGAGTTAAAATTAACTGTCCATGGCGGCGACGATAGTCAGGAAAGAACAGGTTCATGTGTTGGATTCAGAGGCGATTGGATTGGCCACGGAACTCAGAATCACATCTAAAACCGCATTATTAGCGCTACCCAAGTATGCTACATTCCAACTTGGTGAGGGGATAGAAGGCAGGAAAACTGTATTTAAATCTTTGGCGTATGTGCGAGGTGAAGAGGAGTCGGAAGAGCACTGTGTAAGGCGGCTGAAGATTCAGCTTACGACATGGAACATCCTGTAGGAACGATGACCCTCTTCAAGGTGTCCTGACTTGAGCATAAGTCGAAGGATATAATTATGCCGAGGTTTCTCTCCTGGATGCCATTTTTGAGTGGAGATCCTCCAAAGTGTTTAGTCCCGAATGGTTCAGTCGCAACGACAGGTAGAATTGAAGACTTGTCGAGATTAATTACAGTCACCACTAGATCGAGCAACAATGCGAAACCTCAAGTGTCGCTTGTAGTTTATTAGCGTCCTATGTGCTGGATATAGCCATGCGTAAAAGTACTCTCCTGAGGGAATCGAAGCCAGGCTATCCACATAACAGGCGGCGATACTCGCCTGTATACAATTTTAAAGATGTATTTAAAATTGATTTATGCTTCCTTCTCCAGATTTCATACACCTTTTAATTAAGATTTGAATTTTTCCATGAATCGTTGGCCTTAAGCATTTTGCGTCCACCTTCGCGTGGCGATATTATTGGCGGCGGCTTGAACTTGGTTTGACGTTGCAGTTTTGTGTTTGGAATGGCCGTACGTTTAGGCCGAAAAAAGTCCAAGAACCCTTCCTATTTTTCTCACGAGTTCATCATTACGAACCATGGCGATATAGTGAGCTTTTTGGCGATGATAATTATTATGGGACTATTGTACAAGGTAACTTGTCATTGCGTAGTATTTAAAGCTTAGGGAACACACACTCTTTCTTCCAACTTTCTATTCGTACAGCACAATGTGACGGACGAAGGTTGTCAATTATTTTAAACGTAGACTATTTTAGACCATCCGTCGCGTACTCCCTTGTATAGTCCCGGTCGGAGCGATTTCTGCATCATCTTCTTTTACACCCTCATGTGCATTGTTGCACACGCTGTTGTGCAAGAATATGTGTTCGACGTAAGCGCTCCCCACTTTACGTTACTTTCTAGCGATTTTCGAAAAAGCTGAACTTGACTAAAATTCGCCTTGGAAAGTTCAACGAGTCGGCTCACCTCGCTTATTTCTACGCAATTTCGGTGTTTTGGGGAGTCTACAATGTAGTAACAGAGGCGCTTGTACCGAGCTTAAGTAGTCTTTGGGAGGGATATCCTCATCATTTGATGCCATTTTGGACAAAACTTTTTCTGATTATTCAAGTGAGATATTTCATCTTGTTAAACTTCAGATTTGCTTCTGGCTTCACGATTTCCCTGAGCTGTATTTTCAGCGTGTGAAGAAGGTATGATGCCGTTAATGGTTAATACTTCACATAAGGAACTGATTCCTTCACGTATCTTGCATGCCGCTATATTCCTATGCGGTGTTGGTTTGGCGTATTTAGGGGGGTAAGCTCGCATTACTTAACCACTGCTTTAGGCTGTTCAAACTATGCCTCATACTTTTAATCCTTCACTACTCAACTGACTTCTTCCTCCACGCAGCCAGGGCGTTGCATCTAGCGGAGCACACCAATATCGCTTCTGTTGGGTAACATAACCTGCATGAACTTACTTTTCAAAGATTTGCAATCTGGAACGTTCTCTTTATACCCGTTCGGATGGCCTGTATCATACTCCCATTTTTAGTTATTCAGTGAGTTCTTATTTTTTCCTGATTCCTTTGTAGCTACGGTCTTGGGAGACAAAGTGTGGAGTTTGTTGATTTATCCACGGGCAATTTTAATACACCCTCTATACGGTGAGTCTCAGTGTGATTGCATCATCCTGTCTTCATTACAAGGCTCTTTCATTTTTACTTTGCTCATTTTTAGAGATAATTGTTTAGGCGGGATGGCTTTTCCCGCTAGTTCTGACTTATAATACTCAGCCGCGGTGACTGGGTGTGCGTCACAACACTGAATGAGTGTTCCGTCACTTAAAAATGATGTGCCATCGTATGCATCCGCTGCTGTTATTGTGCACTGTCGTTTCTAGCTTTTGTAGAATACTTATTCTCCCGTTTCTAATGGTTCTAATTTCTTACCATGTTATTACTTCAAGATAAAAATTGCGTGTCATAAATGATATATATTGCGTTCCCAAACGCGTCAGCGGTAACTTAGCTACACCTGACTTTAGGCCAAATGAAATCACCTCAGCTCATCAAGCATTCTTGGTCACACTAGCTGAACAATTAATTCGTTTTTAAAAGGTAGCCTGTTTAAGCCCCCACCTAGTTTGTTGGGTACGTGAGGAAACTGGCTTTCATCGCTGTTTTGACAAGTACACCCATCAACTGGCGTCGCTTTTACCGCGGTTCGGTGGGCTTCTTAACCATCTAGTCATTAACCCACATGGTTCAGTATCATTTCGTCACGTTGGCAAATCAAAACTCATCCCCAAATAAAATTAGAGGCATCGGACTTATGTTCAAGAGTCGCCGCATCGTATTTCCTGACTTATCGCGAGCGGTTTGGCGCTACTTTGCCGGTACGCTGTGGCTGTTGGTCCAACTAAATCACTCAGTGCTGAAACCAATTACGCTGCCGATACCACGTCGGTCTTGATCTATAGAATGTGACTTCCTTTTTTGGTTAGATCATTAGACTGCATTTCGAACAGTCCATAGAATCTGCGCATCGGTTCAGTTCAGTAGAAACCATATATTCCCGTATTCGAATTCCATTCCATCCGACCATCTGTGTCAGTGCCATACTAAAGGAGTTTAACAATGGTCAAACTGACGTGCATGAAAATGAAAAGTCTCGACTAACAAGCAAGACAGGTTGATAGCCTACATCATGTAGTATAGAATGTTTGACCAGTTCTTTGGCACGACTTGAGGCCACTATCAAGAAGACGTCACCCGCTTTTTCGGCAGCGCTCCAGCCATTTCTGTTACTTCACTGCTATCATGAAATTGATTTACCAAACCCTTATACTACCAGAAGACACAGCTAACCTAATTTCGTAACTATTGTGTACTCGCACGGTATAGCTTAAAAGTCGCAAACGATTTAGGCTTGGCAGATGGTTTGGCCGGACGTCTATTTCGTCAAACCTTGATCATTTGACTCCAAGCACTAGTCAGTGTTCTTGCTACACATAAGCAACCCACTAGTCTCTCCAAAGATACCGGTGGTCAATGCAAAGCATTCTAACATCCGCCAGTGCGCATTTACCATGCTTTTGAACTGTACAGCAAAGGGTTCCGTCGGAGATTCATCAGCTTGGTTGACACCAGTGAATCGGACATCTAGATTAGTAAATCAGCTAGTAGCTTGAAATCACCATTCACCAAACATGAAGGCAGGTGGTCCGTTATTCCTACCGTGCAGCGTACCGAAGCTTACGGCCCTCTCAGACGTAAAGGCGCCTGAGATGGAGTGGGCTAAATCTCAGCACTACATAGCAAAATGGTTTTCACTGTTTTCTTGCGCATGACCCCCAGTACCAAGGTAAGCACCCTTTTGGCACCGAAGATTCATTAATTAACGAAGTGATTTACAGTTGCGATACGGAGACTACTTTCGTCAGTTACAAGACCACCACTACGAATGTAAGAGATATGTGATGGCCTTGCAGGAGCAGATTAACGGTGAAGTGCCAGCGCTAAATACTGAGGTCGTTCTTTGCTGCTTCTCGATTATTGAGCATTTAGACGATCTCATCCTATATCCAGATCAACCAAATTTCCCTGAGTATGGCTACCACAGCTGAATCAAGAGGTTCCACAATAGAATACTGCAGTCCAAAATTGAGAAGTAGGCATACTAGATAACCTTGGTGAACTTCGCTCGTCTGAAGCACACTCAACACTGCAGATCCTGTTGGAGGACAACGCACTCAAAAGTCGGCGCAAGTGATCAGCGATACGGAGCGACCGGCCGAGATGAACGCGCTTTTGAGTTCACAGAAAGCAATTATGGTCGATCTGCTGTTGGTTCAGTACTGCTTCGATCCTTGTCTTGCTAATTACATCCTAGCGCTTTCTGCATGCCTAAAATTTGCTTTGGTTCTGTTTCAGCCGAAGGTCTATCTGTTCTGCTTACATGGGATCTCGGTTCCACAGTAAACTGATGGATTGATTTAGTGACCCGCAATTGTGGGATTGATGACTTCAAGCTGACACTCCGATGCCGTAACTGCCCTCTTTTGATGTTACCATTAGTATAGGCCGCTCCTTAGGTTTCCACCCCACTCTTCCTACACTTGTTCAGACAGACAACTTAATTTCTTATTCATGACCGCGTGGGTACAATGTGCTGGGAACCAAAAGGTAATCTTTTCTAGATCCTAAGAAGCCTATCGACATTTCAGCTCTCCATGGACCACTGACAATACTGCAACCAAAAGCATATTTGCCGTACCTTGCCGTAAAATGCTATTCCATCGGAACTCAGTGGCATTAAAGCGGAACGGCACTAGCATTATTAGAGTGCTACCATTGTGCATGTACCTGACCATAGGATGCAACAACGTGTTTTTCGCCAGTCAATCCAAGTCAAGAGTGAGTCTTATGTAACCAAGACAGGCGGACATCCACCAAGATGTAATGTTTAACTGCGCCTTCCGGCTAAAACCAAAAATTGGAATGGGGCTCAAACATGATCATAGTCCATACACTTGTTTAAAGCCTGGCATAACTCTAGGGTATAAGAGTGCCACGCTTAGCTTATGGTAATGTGATGTGTTTGTGGCCATCACTGGCCAGTGTTTGGAAGATGCCAACATGTCGGCGTACTTTGTGGCTGGAGCAAGTGCCATTTTGGTACGGCTGGTGTCCAATGCATATTTGCAACAGACCGTCGACCGTTCTGCAGCCGGAATAGCATATGAACGTGCTTCCCGGTCGAGCTTCTGAGGAGCTTAGGTGACCTGCTTGAGCATTCATTTCGCCGGGAATTAGAAACGCTTTAGTCGTCTCACTACTTGTATTCAGATTTATTTCGAACTACAAAGCAGATCTCTTGTTTCAAACTAGTACTTTGTCTTAACTGGTTGTTTCCCGTAGTAGTGCACGCAGTTCGTTATGGTAGGCTTTGGCAGCATCAGCACTGCACTTGGGCGAAGCTTAAGCAGTACTCTTACTGCTCTGTATGCTAACGTTTGACGTCAAACCAGATGCAGACGAACGATTGTTCACGAGTGTCCGACGAACCCACAAGGATTCAACTGTGGATCTCAGAAATATGGCTACTGCAGGTTGAACTGTGACTGCCGCCTTAGCATCTGCGGCCTTGCGTAGCTCAGAAGCTAAAAAGTCTTAATTTTGTATACAAGTTTCGGAGACAGCACACATTAGAAGGTAAATATAGTCAAGGAAGTATCTCCTATTGATCGATATGACAGGGTGCGGACATCGAATGAATCTAGTTTTGAAGGTTGGTTTGGTTTTTCTCGCTAGCATCGCTGCTAAAGGGATAAATGGTATTTTATGATTAACGTTAAAGCAGCGACTGACAATAGAAAGAAAATACTGGGCGTTGTTGGTACGTCTCACCCTCCAGGTTGGGGTCCATAGACCCATCTTGGTCTTGACTCGAAACCTAACAGGAATTGGCTCCTAGCTTGTATCAGCGGATCACTTGCAGTCGTCTCCTAGTTGGAATGCCTGTTTAAAGTGTCTGATGCCAAGTTACATGCGGAGTAAGGCCGATTGTGACGCGGAGCAGTAGAAGTCGAAAGGTAGCTGTCTCATCGTCACCGCCTCACTTTTACACAGGAGTCAGTCGTTTGTTTCCGCGCAGGCATCTTAACCCTGAATGTTTGCTCAGGGCGTTTACGTTTCACAGTGGACCCTATCTTTTCCCATCCTTTTATTCCCCAGCCCTTAGTTCATCAGGCTTGTGATAGAGGCGCATCAGTTACCGATGTACTACTGCTGCTGATAATGATGAGAACCTCGGGATCGGCCATATTAACAGCTAAAGACATCATCCAACATTGCTCAGTTGCGAAACCAATGGCGCCCTTGCACTTACTATACTGCACCCATCCGTCGACACTACAGTTGAAATAGTTTTACTTACCTTCCTCCAGCTCTTGCATTTTGCCTCGATTTGCCCACCATAGTTATTACTCTACTGGTTACGCTAATCGAATTAGCTGAAGTCACCACACTTCGTGGCGACGGTTTTTGCACCTCTTCGACTCATTTGGCTATACTGGGATGCATGGTTTACTTCACTAAAGGGATCATATTTAACGGCTGGATATGTGCGTTTCGATTTCAAAGCTTCGTTGGATGCAACACGTAGCGGCCCAATGCAACGTCTTTTTTTCGTTACCCGATCCCACCTGCTGCAGCCGGGAGACCCTCGGAGATGTGTCCTATGAGGAGTTTTCTTCCAGCACTATAGTAGTTGGGCACGCAGATACTGTGTTCGCGAGTGCTGTAGTGGGTCACGTAGAGTGGCCGTTTTGTACTAGATACTCGTCTTATTATCGGTGGCAATATTTTATCTGAGCTGCTCCAACTGTAACTTTCATATCAGTGCGGCATGAGATCTCACACCCATTCACCTAGCACCTGTCAAACGACAGGCTGTCTTGATTTCTGATTAACCATACCAACCATAGATGGCGCACGTCGGATCAGGGTAGTAGATCGATCTGAAGTATTCCCCTTGAGTTTTATCAGACCTTTGTGTGCTCCTGTCCGGCACCACACTTCTCTCTTTGGTGAGGTGGACAAGCTCCGAAATGTCTGTCAGCCGTGTTCGCAATCTGTGAGGCATCAACATCAGTCTTGCAACA